AGGCTTCAGTTCTGCACTTTGAGTAAGTTCTGCCTCTGTTCTACAGCACTGAGGTGTAAGCACTTCAGGCAGGATAGGAGGCAGAGATCCACGGCCACCAAATTCCCATTTTTACATGCCTATTCTCTCCATTTCCCTGTTTAAATACAGAGGGTGTTTCAAACTCAGACAAATTTAACACACTCTTGTAAACATTTGGTTTTCATCTACTATATGCAGGTACAAGAAGACACAAAAATACAGTCGCTTTAAGAAAGGAGTTTGGTCTTAGCAGAGGAAACAAAAAAAATTCTTAAAAGAGCAAATACTGTTTTGTTTTTTGAATAAGGGCAATGATGCTGCTGCTGCAGGTCAGAGTACCCTCTGGGACTGGAACGTGTGGGGAGTGTTTTGCGGAGCTGGATCCTCAAGAAAAGAGAAGTGGAGATGAAGAAAAAGGGTATTCCAAAGAGGAGCAAAAGTCACTGGACTCAGCTGGCAAGAGAACTGTGTAGGGAAATACCATGTACAGAAAGTCTAGCAAATCATTTGGCTAATGGGGATTAGGATAAGCCCTGGAGAGGTGGGCTGGGGCCAGGTGGGCAGCAGCACCCTGAATGCCAAGTTAGGACATCAGATCTCATCCCAAGCCAGCAGCAGTTTCTGACTTCACTGTAGGATCTCCAGAGTCTCACGAAGTGTGTCTGTTGCTCATGATAGTTAAAAGTGCTGACATTTACAGGTGAGTTACATAAATACAAGGAAGAATCTTTGTGTTCTCACAAGTAACGCCACAGCAACAGGACTCTTCTGGTTTCAGCATCTTCCCAAAAAGGATCTCCTGATCAAGGAGCTAGGTTCTTTCAAAATCAAACATTCTTTTTTTTTTTTTAATGTTTTATTTATTTCTAGGAGAGAGACAGCATGAGTAGAGGAGGGTCAGAGAGAGGGAGTCACAGACTCTGAAACAGGCTCCAGGCTCTGAGCTGGCAGTCAGCACAGAGCCCGACGCGGGGCTCGAACCCACGAACCGTGAGATCATGACCTAAGCGAAAGTCGGAAGCTTAACCAACTAAGCCACCCAGGCGCCCCTCAAAATCAAACATTCTAAGATGACAAGATCCTGACACAAACACACAAAGTATTGCTGCCTCACTTCTTAGTTCATACATGCAGCCTTTTTGTATGACCATATACAACGAGCCTTTGCAGAGTCAAGGGACCACATGGAAAGAGCAATGTGTTTTGGAGCACTCAGAACTCTTCCTAGATCTAACACCTTGTCCACGGTCTCTAACTCTCCCATCCCCGCAGAAAGGGGGGCCTGACTTTCTGTTTTCATTGGGCAAGATAAACTCCGACTCTTAAAAGTTAATTTGGCAGTTCCATACATCTCCAAGGACAAAAATTAAGTTTCATTTCTTTTTCTGATTCTAACACAGTCCTACTTTTCCTTTGTCTCCTGAATACACTGACAGAATACCTCTTTAGGACATAAAATCAACCAACTCATCACCATAATAATTCACTTTCTTCTAGAGCAAACAGAAGACCTTACCACAAGACCAAAAAATGGTCACAAACCAAAGAAATTATGTTCCAAAATAAAACTCAGGCATCATGAACATTTAAGCAGGCTCTTCAAGAAGAAGCAAACAGTGAGCTCCGAGGAGCACAGGAGGCAGGAGCCTGGCAGAGGGCCTTAGCCCTGCCAGAATCACAGGGCCGTGACACTGGCCTGCCTCGGTTCGCAGAGGCTTTAGCTTGATTCGTCTAGTCTTAGTTTCCAAGCAGTCTGAAAAACACTTGCAGGAACCACATCTAAGAAAGAGGTAAGTGTATTTCTCATTCGGGAGCAACAGAATACCCCAGAGAGCATCAGACTGGCAACGGACACGTTTCAGCCGTACGGGTCCGCGGAGCTAATTTCCCGCTACCCCGCCGGCCGGCCTTCGGGCGCGGGGTTCTCAGACCTCTACCCCGAGGCTGTCCACCCGCTTCAGCGCCAGCATCTGGGAGGCCCCACGGGAGGCGGGTCAGGGCACTCGAGGGCTGTTCGAGTGATGCTTGGCTGATGCCTCAGCCCCGCGCGTGCCGGCTCCAACCCCGCGCCAGCCGCCGCCCGCCCTGCCGGCGTCAGGCCGGTCTTTCGGCCCGGCTCCTGTCACTCACCGGCCCAGCCCGGGCAGTGGGCGCCCACGGCTCCCCACGGGAGCTGGGCCCCCCGGGCCTCCAGGTTTCGGCCCGCCCCTGGCAGGCAGCGCAGGTGGACGAGCCCCGCAGCAGCGGCCCCGCACCGGCCGCTCGGTCCAGCTCCCGGCGCTGCCCACTGGGTACGGATCAACAACAAGATGGCGGCCAGCCGAGGGGGCGGGGGCCGGGCGTCATAGTAACCAGGACGGCAAAGAACCCGCCCCCAGGCTAAGATATCCCCAATCAACATCCTCTTCGTCCGAGGCCTAAGGGAGTGCTTTTCTCTGACAGGTCGGCAGGCCTGTCAGTCAAAGCCTGCCTCTCACGGCCCTGCCGAACGCCTCAGGACGTGACTGTGACGGCACGGGTTGGCGCATGCGCCCCGTTCCTGGAGTCGCTGGCGGCAGATCTTTTGCTTGGCGACTCTGGGGATCTAGCGCCCTTGGTCTTTTTGCGTGTGCAGCCTTTTTGCAGGAGCCCACGGCGTCTTCTCATACATGCGTACACACTTAGGGAGTGTCTGCTATGTGCTATATGTTTGTTTGTTTGTTTGTTTTTATCACCCACACTGGAAGGGAGGGGTTGTCCAGGTTCAGTGGTGAGGAAACTGAGGTACAGAGGGGGAGGCCTGGCCAAGGTCACCCCACCTCTGGAAATGGAGGCACCGGATCTCATACCTCGTCCTATTGGCTTCAAAGTATAATTCCCTATTCCCAGTGACTTCTACACCTTTGCCCTCATCAATGGCGAGGTGCAGTCTTGTGTGCTCCTCCAAGCAGTCCCTTGCCCGTTGCCCACGTTTGTCCTTTTGCTATGAGTTCAGTGCCCAGCACAAGCCCTGGCACACAACAGAAACTCTTCTCTTCCTCCCCTAGAGCATCTTCTCTTTAATACCTGTGACACAGCTTTTGCCCTGGACCATCATGATCTATCTCAGAGGTTAGGAGTCCCAGGAAATAGTTTTCCCTGGTCCCCCATACAGAGCACCTAACCCTGGGCTTGGCTTCAGGGTTAGGAACTCAAATGCAATCACACAGCTTGGACCCAAGTGAAGTGCCAGAACTAGCTAGTTATGTGACTTTTGAGGCTTAGTTGCCCCATCTGTAAAACGAGAATAACAAATGAGCCCTTAGAGCAGGGAAAAGTCTGCCTGTAACCACTTCCAGGAACAGCCTGCTCTCAGGTTGTTGTCACTGGGGCCAGCTATAACACCCTCACTTTTGCGAGAGCACCATGAAGCATACTTTTCCCACAGAAGGCATTCGGCTTTTTCCCTGACTTGGACATCATATCTGGCTCAGGAAAGGAGGTCCTCCGTTGCCCTGAGAGGGTTCAGGCCCACAGAGTTGGCACAGGGGAGAAGATCGAAAGAACTTAGGGATACCTCAGGAAAGGTAGCCTCTACCCAGACAGCAGGTCCTCTCAGAGAGCTGGCAGTAACCTGAGACCTGATTCGAGGCTGGGCAAAGGGAGTGAGCTCACACTGCCCCCAACAGAACCTGCCCTCCTGCAGGTTATAGCAGGCCACCTAGTTATGTGCAGCGCTCAGCTCAGCATAGGGAGGGATGAGGGCTAAGACATCAGAAGACACAGATCAGGAAGAAAGAGGAATATCCAATCTGAAGAGGGCTACCATCAATCCCTCATAGCCATCCATGCCACAGGGGTTCTCAAGTCTGCACCAACCCCCACCTCAGTGCAAAAGTTCCAGTTCTTTCCCAAGAAAACCTCCACACACAGTCAACAAAGCCCTAGAGGTCGGTGGGGCCCTTCAAACAGCAACAATGTATTCCTTTCAGTGGGAAAAGAAAGTTACTGGGCCCTCCCCATCTGCTAGAGCAGGTGGTCTTTGAAGGGACAGGCTGGTTGGAGGCCCTCTCTGTCACTAATAAGGATAACAGCCTCTTACCTCTGCATTAATCATGATCAGTCAGAGCATCATGCAATGCCTTCTTATAAGAAAAATAATCTTACTACTCCCTAGAGTGTTCCCAGAAAGCAAGGCACTCTCCAATTGAGAACAAGGAAGCTCAGATCCCAGAGCTTCTCCCACAGGTGGTTTTCAAGGCTAGGACTCTTCTGTTTGTAATTTTGTTTATTATTGAATCAACTTGAAAACTCAGCAGCATGATCATGGGAAGAAAAAATTCCACAAATAGTGAAGCAGCTTCCTGGCTTCAGAGCCAGCGCCGGGCTCCCGTGAGCGTGTTGAACAGGTAATCTCTGCCTGTACCTGAGTTCAAATAGTCAGGAGGGAGAGAGGGCACTGCTGGCCTCAGCAGAACAGCCTCCTTCCCTTAAACGTAGGGGAAGACATTCCAGAACCCTTGGTGAGACCCTTCTTCTGCTTGATCTGACTTGTCCCTTCCCTCCTTCCTCACCAATCCTTTGAGGTCTAACTCAAATTCACAGGAAGCATCCTTGATTGCCCCCAAACTGAACACCAGTTCCTCTAACTAAGCCCCAGTGCAAGATTACTCTGCCATAAATCACTGATGACAATGTAATATCTGAGAGCCTTTCTCCTCACCAACCCTTCTGCCATGGGCAGGAAACAGACCAGGTCTGAGTCACCTCCTGGCCCAACAGGTGTTTGAGAAACATTGGCTGGGGGCACCTGGGGGCTCAGCCGGTTAAGCATCCAACTTCAGCTCAGGTCATGATCTCACAGTCTGTCAGTTCGAGTCCCGCCTCGGGCTCTGTGCTGACAGCCCGGAGCCTGGAGCCTGCTTTGGATTCTGTGTCTCCTTCTCTCTCTCGCCCTCCCCGACTTCTGCTCTGTCTCTCTCTGTCTCTCAAAAATAAATAAATGTAAAAAAAAGAAAATTAAAAAAAAAAAAAAAACATTGGCTGAAAGGTGAGAACAGACCCCATTCAGGGAAAGAATAGATAGTGGATGCCTGGTGGTAGGAGGAGATGCTGAGATGGGCTAAGGAGAGAAGTGGACCCAGGTGAAGAGTAGTTTGGGAAAAGGGGGACTCACGGGAGTCCTGTGCTCTGCCATCAAAGTGCTGCTGAAGGGAAGAATGAGAGGCAGTAATGAGTTGAGCCCTGCCCCCCAGGAGCAGGTGAAGGTCTGCTTCCATAGGGGCTAGGAGCCCACTTCCCTGTTCCACCCTGATGGTGCTGGCATGGACTCTACCACAGAGGTAGACAGCCACAAGGAAGGAGGCAGGCTTGTCAGGGAAGTCCTCTAGAGCAGCCCAGTGCCCACTATACAGGATGGTAGGTTGACATACCAGTCTCAGGTTGACATTGCTGGGTGCTTGGGGCATCTCCATCCTGGGTGCCTCCATGAATCCCTGAAAGGACTCCTCAGTTCCCTGGATGCTGGGGTAAAGTAAAAGCAGGAATACAGGATAAGGCTCTTGGCCCCAGCCTGAATTTAAGAGATGGACTCTCAAGCATAGGGGTATGCAAAGGAAACTGACCTGCTTAGTAGCAAAGCCTGGGCTGGTTTGCTTGGTGTCTGATGCATCTGGGCCAGCCTAAAATGCCTGGAGGAGGGACCAAGCAGTGAGGGCAGCAGACTTGCTGGTTCCAGGAACCAGCACCATTCATCTCTCCCTTTATACTGGAGATAGCCAATGTCCATTTACAATGCCCACGTTGTTATCCCCACCTTCCCCTGAGTCAGTCCTGTGCCCATAAAAAAACTCATCCCGAGGGGCAGAATAAGTGTCGAGTGGAGGGTAGGGGTCAGGAATAGGGGCAAATGCCCAGTGCATGATAGACTCTGAGTCTAAAGCACTGGGCCTCATCCACATCCACTGCATTCCAAGACCCAGCTCTGTCAACAATGGAGACAACTTCCCCCTAGTGCCTCTCTGCCTCTAACCTGACAACCTCTGGAGGGGGAGCAGCTCCCACTAATAGCAGTTTGCCTGCTCATCAACTTGGGCATTGTCATCAAATCTTGGTGAAAGAACCTATCACAGATGGGGACCATTAGTGGGCTGGGGTAAGAGCCCAGGGTTAGGAGCCCTACCCTTGGAAGAGCTTGCTGAGGAGCCAGCACAGGGCCAAGACAAAGAGGGCACTGGTCACTGTTAGCACCACCACAAACCAGGGCTCCGGCTGCCAGAAAGTCTCTGTGTCGGTCACAAGCAAGGGTGTCCTCACTGAAGGCACCTGAAATGGGGGCCACAGCCCTGCCAAAATGCCCTGATCATCCAGCTTCCAAACCACTCCAAAGTTTGGGCTACCCCGCACCCCAGAGTTGCTCTTCTGTATTGTCAGCCTCCATGCATTCAATGGTTCCCTCTGGAATGCCTTCCCCCATAGTTCCACTTGGAAAACTAGATCTCCTTGCCCTTCAAGATCCTTTCTCCCTACCCCCCAAAGCCCCAAGGACCCCCCTCACTGTGGCTCTGTGGGTGTGAGTGGCCACTGTGCTGGCGCTCCAGGGAACTAGATGCACAATGACAGTGGCTGTGGTGCTGAGGTGGGGGATGGAGGGACCTGCATCAGCTACATGGATCAGTAGCTCGTAAGTATAGAACTGCTCTGGCCAGGAGGGCCCCAAAATGATGTTGTTGTACACCAGGGTGTCTCCTTGCAGGCTGAATTGGCTCTGACTATTCCCTGAAAGCAGAAGAAAGGGACCATTGTTGGCCTTGACCTGCTCCTTCCCCAACAGCCTGGTGGCCCCCCATGATCCTCACCTCCCACAATGCTGTAGGAGAAGGCCAGACGCTGTGGCTCCTGGGGAACCCAACATGACACCTTGGTCACCTCCACACTATGGCCCAGGAGAGTGTAGATGGTGAGTTCCTGAAACGGAGGCTGACACTCGGGGGCATGATCGTTCACATCCTGCAGGAATATGGCCAGGTCACCCCAAATCCCCAGGCCAGCTCCTCAGCCTCCTCCAGAACCAAGGTGTCAGGCAACAGGCTCCAAAGTTTTCCACAATGAGGCACCATCCCTCTCCAGTCAACCAATGGAGGAAATTTAGGCAAAGTGTAGAAAAGCAGAATGCCAGAGGAAGATGTGAACACTTTCCGATTTTTCCCAAGGCCTCAGGGCTCAATTACCTCAACCTCAATGGTAATGGTACAGGAACCAGAACGGTGGTGATTGGGGTCCTGGTCTTGGCTATGGTCAATCAGCAGGACAGTGAGCCTGTACAATGTCTGCAGTTCATAGTCCAAAGATCCCAGGAGGTGAACCTCCCCTGAAAGAGATGCCCACAGCCTCAGCCTGCAGTCAACTCTGGTTTCACCCCTTCATCCCAGCCCTAGGGTGGGAGTACCACTGAGACGATCCACAGAAAAGATGGTAGGCCCGCCAGAGATGTAGTACTCAATGCTGTTGTGTGGGTAATCCTTGTCCATGCCCACCACAGAGCCCAGCAGAGTATGGGGCCCTGCATCTTCCCGGATCCGGAACTTGTGTGGAACACAGGTTGGGGAGAACTCGTTGACAGGAGTCACCATCACCAGTACTGGCACCTCAGCTGGAGACCATTTGGTAGTCAAGGAGCTGGTGTGGGGTGCCCAGCCATTCCCTGGGGTCTGAGGAGGGAGACATGGCCCTGCTCTGGGGGTCTAAGGATGGAGAGGGTCTGGAGGGAGGGCAAACAATAGCCATCTCTTGCTGGGTGGGGAGGTGTCAAGGAGAGATATGCCCCACCCTAGGGAGACAACCCTGCCCTTTTGATTTCTATGGGAGGATAGGTGACTCTATCTTGAGGATGAGAAGAGAGAGGTACAGAACAGCCCTGTCCTGGATGTCCAGGGCTGGGTATGGTCACTCACTGGTCATCAGGGGCTGACCACCATCGAGCACCAGGATGGAGGCTGCATGCTGAAAGCAGGCCCCAGGAGCATCACAGTCCAGGGTGGCATTCACCTGGCCAGAGGGGCCACAGAGTGAGGCTGAGCTAAGGCCTGGAGAAGTCTAGAATCACACTGGGGCGCCTCAGGTCAGGGCAACCACACATGGTCAACCCTGAGCTCTTGCTTTCCAGCTCTGTGGGTGCAGATTGGCTCCACCACCATCTCCCTCATGGTCACGGTCTCAGCTCCCACAGACCTTTGCCCCCTAACCCTCCACCTTCGGGTCCCCAGCACCCTGCATGTGGTTCTGGAGGCGCGGACTGGGCACCTCTAGGACCCTGTCTCGAAGGCAGAGGTGAGCTGAGCCAGGAGGGCTGTGGAACTGCAGCTGGTAGTCCAGGATGGAGCCAGGAGAGTCTGGATCGGCACAAGTGAAGGTGTTCAGCACGGTGCCCACCAGCGTGGTCTCGGGGATTTGGGTCCTGAAAGCAGAGTGCGGGCCGCAGGGCAAAAGTCAGTGTGGACCAGGAGAACCATGGCTCTCACCCCTGTAGCTTAGGTAAGTCTCCTGTATACTCACACCAGCATCGCTGGGAGGCAGCGTGGAGGCCAGCGGTTGACTGAGCGCACGTTCACCGTGAGCTCCAGGTCAACGCTGGCCCATGGCCAAAGCCGCTCGTAGGCCTTCACCCGCAGACTGGTGACCGCCGAGCCCCGGGCCTGCGCTAACTCCAGGGGCGCGGTGGTGCGAATCACACCGTCGGCTGGGCGGGGTAGGGGCGGGGAATGCTGAGTTTAGACCCGCCCCCAGGTCAGTTCGATCCCCACGGTCACACCTAATCCACCTTCAGCGCGAGGGGGTTGAGCCTGGCCACCCCTGCTCCCTCCTCCAAGGCTCGCCTCTAATTGTAGCCCGGCCCCCAAACTGCACCGCGCCGGCGTCTGTCTGGGCTTAAGCCCCATTTCTCAGGAGGGCGACGAGGTAGTGCGGATCACTGTGGACCAGCCTCGCAGGCATCCCGCACAGGCCCCGCTACGCTCCTCACCACGTCCGATGGAGAACAGCGGGCAGGGCACCGGGGAGAGGATTTCGTAGCGTATATCGAAGCCCTGGGCATGGACCTGAACCACTTTACCCCCGGGGGGCAGGTCCTCCAGGATGGTGATATTCGAGGCCTGCTTCCTGGACCAAAAAGGGAGCACTAGCCATGCACTCTTCCGCCACCCCTGGCCCCATCCGCGTGCCCCTCTGGGGCTTCCCTCATACGCAGCTCTCTGGGGACACCCCAGCAGCCCCACACCTTAACCTTACTCCTAATTTCCTCCCTCACTGTACCCAGGGTAGGGGAGTCTTACAGGAAGGAGATCTGGCTGGAGGGAACAGGCAAAACTTTCACCTTGAGCATCCCAAGGCAGCTTTGATTTTGTCCAAAAGTCACCAAAATCTGAAGCTGGAAGACCTGCAGTGCACACAGAGCAGTAAGGGAACTACAATGTGTGTATACCTGTATGTCTGTGCCAGTCTTCTCTTCAAATAGGCCCCTTCCCCCTGCCTGGGGCCCTCCACAAGGAGCCCCCCCCCCCCCCATCATCTCTCATTCTGCAGACAGGCACTCCTTTGAGTCCCGTTCTTGGGGCCATAAATACTTCCATTAGGATGCAAACAGCTCAAAGAAGTGTGATATCTGAGTTATTCACAATGAGACATCATTTAGAGTCTGTCACTAGACATGGAATTTTAAAGAAGGAATTTATCAGGGTACCTGGGTGGCTCAGTCAGTTAAACGTTGGACTCTTGATTTTGGCTCAGGTCATAATCTCACAACTCATGAGTTTGAGCCCTGCATAGGGCTCTGCTGACAGTGCAGAGCCTGCTTAGGATTCTTTCTCTCCTTCTCTCTCTCTTCCCCTCACTCACTTGCACTTTCTCTATCAAAACAAATAAACTTTTTTAAAAAGACTTGGAAATGTTAAAGAAAGAATTTCTCCAGATGCCTGGATGGCTCAGTTGGTTAAGCACCTGACTCTTGATTTCAGCTCATGATCTCATGGGTCAATTCGTGAGTTTGAGCCCCACAATGAGCCTTGCATCGGGCTCCATGCAGACAGTGCAGAGCCTTCTTGGGATTCTTTCTCTCTCCCTCTTCCCCTCCACTGCTCTCACACTCTCTCTCAAAATAAATAAATAAACTTTAAAAGCAAAAAACAAAACTGCTAATGTTTTAAAAAATAATAATAAACAAGGAATTTCTCTAGCCTCCTCCAGACTGTACTAGCCACTTTACCCAGAACTTTCTCTTCCGGTGTGACTGCTTTGAGTATTCTCAATTCTATTAGAGGCACTGGGTGCTCCCAGAGCCAGGAATCCCTTCTCTTTCTAGAACTCCAGAACCCAGCACAGAACCAGGCCAATGTGGAAGAACAGCCAGAATGTGGCAGCATGTATAGGTTTGGGCTATGTCTGAATGAGGCAGCAAAATCTAGAAGGCCAAGAACAAACCTCCAGGAAGTGGTGTGGCTCTGTCCATTGTGTATCCCTACATCCCAAGTCATGCTCACCTTTTGAGCCTGGCCTCTGAGGCCCTGGGATGGCGCCAGCAGCCAACCTTGACCATTGATGGAGAAAGGTCCAGGGAAGTATGGAGGGTCCTGGGCACTGATGACACTTATCTGACAGGACAGAGAGGCTGGAGACCCCAGCCCCAGGCCCCAGTGCCCCCACAGCATCCCTGACAAAATCCCCCAGCAACATAGCAAGTACCTGCCCACACCCAACCCTCCTATACCCTGATGCAGGGTGGGTCCCCAACCTCCACCTTGACCTCTGGCCCTGATCTTCAATCTTCTCTGGTTTTAATCCAATTATTTTGTTTTTTAAACTGCATTTCTTTCTGGATTACAAAAGTGACTCAGTTTTCATGGAGAATTCAGAACACACAGAGAACATGAAAGAAAACAAGCCCTTGAGATGCCCTTATAGAAACAGTCATGGTCATTGGGAGTGGGCAGCCATCAATGGCTCTTTACAAGAATAGGCATCATGTAGAGGATTAGCTGACACTAAAGTGTCCCTCTGCTAGGGGAGGGGTGTTTGGTTAGAGAGGGCTGGGCCAGGAAGGGCTGGGCTTGGTCTCTCCATGTGCCTCCCTCATTCTGCCCCCCCCCCCATACTGCCTATGTGCTGGGCTCACCTGGGCATGCTGGAGTTCCAGACCTGGGAGCAGCAGAGTGTACAGCCGGGCCCCAGGTGTGACTGTCTCCAGAACCTGAATTATTTCTCCAGCTAGCCAGAGGAGAGGTCAGGGAGGCTCTGTTCAGGCTATGCCTGCCCACCCCCTGCTTGCTGCCCCTGGCCTCACCTGGGCTGGCAAATCGGCCAGCACATGCACTATGAGCAGGGTCCCGCTGCACATTCACAGAGAGTGGTCCTTCCATCACACGGTTGCCACACGTGAACCGCAGCTGCAGCTGATAGTGATTCACTGATAGAGCATCCAGCCGGGCCAAGCTGCTTAAGGTCACCTGTACCAGGTAGGCAGTGCATGTGGGACTATAGCCTCTCCATTCCCTTCTACTACCTGTGGCCTTGCGAATTAAGGTCTGCCTTTGTTCCCCCATGGTTCCCATCTGTGCCCGTGCTTCCCATCTGTGCCCATGATCCTACCATGCCCACATAGGTCCCCTGCCACCTGGTCAGGCTGGGTGGGTTGAAGAAGGTGGTGGGTGGCTGCACGTGGACCAGCTGCAGGGTGGGGATATGAGAAGTGCAGTTGAAGGAGAAGGACTGAAGGATCGTGCCGGGTCCCTGGCTCTCAGAGACATTTATGAACCAGGGCAGGCAGTGGAGTTCTGTGAGGAATAGACAATTCAGGCTGGAACCCCCCCTCTCCCCCCAGAGCATAGTCCTGATCTTCTCCTTCAGGGCTTGGTCACATCTCACGGCCAAGCAGCCAAAAACTCTTCCTTGTCCCCCACATCCAACTATGGCTCAGTTCATTTCACAGAATTGGAGTGAGGACTTGGTTGAGGAAGTAGCCATGATAAGAAATAAGGGTCAAGGAGTTCGATCTTTGCCCTTTTCCTGGCTCTCCCCCAGCCCCTGCACTCTATGGTAGCTTATCTGAGGAGGGTCACAAATCCACCCCAGTGTAGGAATTGGGCGGGGGGGGGGGGAGGATAATGAGAACTGGGATTTCCCCACCCACCAGCTCCTCACCAAAGACAGTCAGAGCAAGCAGAAGCGCCAGGGGCCTGAGCAGTACCATAATGGCCTGAAGATGCAGACAGCAGAGGAGACTCCAGAAGACCAGACGTGTTTGTCAGGCCTACCCCGTTGCCAGGTGAGTCGCTTAAACACAGCTGAGCAGGCTGGACTCCTGGACCTTCCAGATTCCAGCTCCGCCCATCCCTGGTACTTGAGCTCTAGACTCCAGACGGGCATTAAGAGGCCTGAACAACACCAGGTTTCACTGCTTCTGATGAATTCTCCTCATTCATTACTACAACCCAAAGGAAACATTAGGAGAAAAGGATCAAGCTTCAGGGAAACTGAAGTTCAGGGAAGTAAGTCTCAGTCATGCAGTCCTTGGAGACAGCACAAGCATAGCACCCAGGAAAACTGGGCTCAGGACTCGCTACCCCACAGAGTCTAAACTCCAGTTGCCCACTTCCCTTCACCATTAGAACGTTATCTGTCTACGAAATCTGAGCCCAGCCATTAACAAAATTTCTTAAAAGTTGTCTATGTTTAAGAAGCAAAAAGAATCCTAGGTGATAGAAATCAAAATAGTGGTTATTTGGGGGGGATATCATCTGAAGGGGGCACAAAGTGGCCCCTTGGAGGAGCTGGGGATAGTCTATACCTTGATCTAGGTGACAGATGTACAAGAATTTAACATTTATTGAGCTGGGGGTGCCTGAGTGGCTTAGTTGGTTAAGAGTCCGATTCTTGGTTTAGGCTCAGGTCATGATCTCACGGCTTCGTGTGTTTGAGCCCTGTATCAGACCCTGTGCTGCCAGCATGGAGTCTGCTTGGGATTCTCTCCCTCTCTCTCTCTCTCTCTCTGCCCCTCCCCCTACTCGCACTGTCTCTGTCTCTCTCAAAATAAATAAACTTAAAAAAACATTTATTGAGCTGTATCTTTGAGAGTTGCCCATTTGTTATATTTACACTATATGTCAAATTTTAATTTTTTTAAAAAAGTTTATTCTGAGAGAGAGAGAGAAGGGGCAAAAAGAGAGAGAGAGAGAGAGAGAGAGAGAGAACATTCCAAGCAGGCTTTACACTGTCAGCCCAGAGCCTGATGTGGGGCTTAAACTTGTAAACCTGTGAGATCATGACCTAAGCCAAAATCAAGAGTCAGGCACTTAACCAACTGAGCCACCCAGGCACCCCAGAGTCATATGTCAAATTTTAAAATTTGTTTACACTTGCTCTTTCCAATTCTTCATCACTCACTCTCTTCTGCCCACTATCATCAAGTTGATCTCTCTCTTCATGAAACTGCCCTTGTTGGAGTCCTCAGAGACCTGCATACTGCCAAATACAGCAGTTCATTGTCCAACCTTACCTCCTTGGCAGCATTTGACACTTACTCCCTTGGCTCCTAAGGTACCTGCACTCTCTGTTTCCTCCCACCCCCCTGGCTGCTCCTGCTTAGCCCCTTTGCTGGTTCTGTTTTCCTACCACCACCCAGAGGAGTGTTCCAGGGCTCAGGTCCTGACTGCTGCCCTCCTCTGTCTACACTTACCTCCCCCCATCACACTGAAGCCAATGGCCTTAAATACCATCTACTCACTTTGCCTCCCAGGTCTAAGGCTTCAGTGCTGATCTCTCTCCCAAATTCCAGAGTCACATACCCAGTGACTGACCCGGCATCTTATGTAGGATGTCTAACAGATATCTCAAAGGTCACATGTCCACAAATAATCATTTGGTTTTCCTCCCCAAACCCTTTCTTCTCCAGTCTTTCCTGGATCATTTCACAGCAATTCCATCCAACCAGTTTTTCAGGCCAGAAATCTAGGAGTCAGGTTAGATGCTCCTCTTTCCCTACTCATATTCATGCATCAGCAAAGCTTGATATTAGCTCCAGAACATGCCCCAAACACCTCCTTCTGTGTCCCAGCCCTACACAGACCCAGGTCCTCCCCTCCCTTACTGGATGAGGGCAGGAGCCTCCACTCTGATTACAGAGCGGTTCTCCTAAAGCAGCAGGGATTATCTAAAGAGAAGCCAGTCCAGGTCATTCCCTGCTCAAAAGTCCCAGTGCTCCCCATCACTCCACGAACATCTAAGGTCACTAGGAGCCTGGGTTTGCTGATCTCCTCACTCCCCCACCACTGTCTAGACACTTGGTCCTTTATGTTAAGCCCTGTCCAAATCCTCTCTTCTTGGGACCTTTAACTGGCTGATCCGTCTGTCTAGAATACCCCTCTCTCTTTTTTTTTTTTAAAGTTTAATTTTATTTATTTTGATAGAGTTATAGAGAGCAAGCGGGGGAGGCGCAAAGAGAGAGGGAGACAGAATCCCAAGGCGGCAGCACGCTGCCAGCACTGAGCCCCATGCCGGCTTGAATTCACAAACCTTAAGATCATGATCTGAGCCAAAATCAAGAGTCAGACCCTCAGCCGACTGAGCCACCCAGGTGCACCTAAGATACCCTTCTTTATCTCCCATGATGACCCATTCAGATTACATAGAGAACGCTGCCTCTGTGAGTCCCCCTCTCCCAAACGAGGCCGTCTGCCCCCATTTCCGGTATTTTTCTGTCTACTGATTAGTCTGTCTCAAGTTAGACTGTATCCTCTAACCTAGTCTTGGATCTGACCATTCTGGACAGAAAGCGCCGCCCTACCCGCCCTGCTCTCACTCTAGGTAGGCTAGTGGTACGAGCAGAGGGAATGCGGATGTTGCCGCAGAAATCGCGGCTAACCGAGCCCTCCCCACTAGAGGGCGGCCACGCCTTGCTTGGCCCAGACGCGGGGCGGAGAGGGCGCTGGCTGGGCCTTGTCTGAGGCCCCTCCTCTGCGCTGCCGCGAGGTCCGGAGCTCCTGGAATCCTCTGTGGGGCCGGACCCTCCCATCACTCACTTCCAGGGTCTGTCGAGGCCGGTTCCAGTAACGTATACAGTGGGTCGCGCCCTGAATGGGCCATAGCACTGCTAGATCCGACGGCTGGGGGCGCTCTGCCTGCACGTGGACGTAGCTAGGGGATCCGCACGCTCTTGAGGCTTCCTGCGGGAGGGACTGTGGTTCTATCTCGGGAAAAAAGGGGAAGCTAAGGCTACTGCGGGTAATGACTTGTCCTGGCTCAAGCAGCGAACCTGGAGTCAGCTCAACCGCCCAGGGTATCGGGGAGTCCCGGGCCCGACCCGCCGGGCTTCCAGCCACAGCCCTGCCCCTCCCCCTAACCCCAGCTGGTGCGGAGTGGGGAGTGGGCGTCAGGCTCACCCACCTAACAGGGCCCGGGGGGCGGGGCCACTTCAGTCCCTCCCCGCCCCCATTGGCTGCGGCACCAGGGGCGGGGCGCGGCTGCCAGATGTTGGGGCAGCGGCGGCGGCGGGAGCTACCTAGAGCAAAGAGCAGCGGCGCCAGTCAGAGGGCCAGGGTGCCGCTGGCCGGCCTGCTGGGCCCTCGCTGCGCTTGTCCCGCTGGAGTTCGAAGAGGAACTGGCGAGCCTGGCGGTGGCTCCACCACGGGCATGCACAGCGCTCGGCTTGACAGCTTCTTGGGCCAGCTCCGCTGGGAACTGGTGAGGCTTGCGAGCGGGTGTGGCTTGTGGGGACGCGTGTAGGGTGCCCAGCTGCCTTCAGGCCCGAACGACACACGGGTAGGGGGCCGTCCCGAGTGCCCATCCAAGGCGGGATGGGGGCGGGGTGACGCAGATGGCCCAGATGGCCCGCATCGGGTTTCGGACGGTTGGGAGCTGCCCTGGGCATCAAGTAACAGCCGCCCAGCTGGCCGAGCTGCCGCGGCGGCGGCGGCGGCGGCGGCGGCGGAGGGAGTTGGCGGGGAGAAACTTATCTTGGGGCGGAGCAGGGGGCTGCGAGGGACTAAAGAGGTGCTAGCGCTACTATGGATGCCTTCTACCCCAGGCTGACCTGTACTTCTACCCCCCACCTGGCAAGTGCTCTTTCTCTGAAAGACGCTGTGAGCTTTGGGGAGCTGAATCTCTCAGGAAGCAGGGGATGCCCCCCCACCCCCAGCCCTAAACAGGACCTACTTCCCGATGCAGGCAGGCCCGCAACCCTGCCTCCCGCCCTGGTGGCGGGTACCAACTTGCCCAGCTCTGCGTGCTGCAGCCTGCCGGACTGCCACCAGGTCGGCTGATGCGAGTCACACGAGCTACGTGTGCCAGCGCCCCCATGCCGGCCCTGTGCCCACTAGAGGCCTTGCTGCCCAGGCCTGCAGGCCTATCCAGTCCTCCTGGGCCTTCTGCTTTGGGACTAGTCTGGCTGCACAGGCAGGGTGACAACTACCCCTCCAACTTGGACCCTCTCTTCCTCCACAGCTGTGTGGCCGGGACACTGGCTCACCCCCCATGTCTGGCCCCCTTCCACCACCACCCAAACCTGGCCCAGGTGTTTGGCTCAGCCATGGACTCAGGGCCTCAGATGCCTTGGAAGAGGACTCAGTTGGCTGTGTGGAAGAAGAGGAAGGTGTGGTGACAGGAGACAAAGGTATTGCCTTGAGGAGCCCAAGGGAGCATGCCCTGGACTGGGACTCTGGCTTCTCTGAGGTGTCAGGCGGCACATGGAGAGAGGATGAGCTGCCTGTACTCCAACACCCAGCACCCCCAGCATGGCCCCCCCACAGACAGCGTCTCTCGGCCAGTGGCATTCCCCTGCCCAGCAGGGCTCCTGTGGCCAGTGCACCACCTGCCCACCGACCACGGCCCAAGTCTACCCCAGATGCCTGCCTGGAGCACTGGCAGGGCCTGGAAGCTGAGGACTGGACAGCAGCCCTGCTGAACAGAGGTCGCAGTCGCCAGCCCCTAGTGCTGGGCGACAACTGCTTTGCTGACTTGGTGCACAACTGGATGGAGCTACCAGAGGCAGCAAGTGAGGGGGACGATAGTGGTGGGCCCCGTGTCCGTGCTCGGCCCCCTCAGTTCCTGCTTGGGCTCTCTGAGCAGCTGCGGCGCCAGCTGGCTAGGGCACGCCGGGCAGCTATGGCGGGAAAGCGACTGTCGTGCCCACCTCGCCCGGAACCTGAACTGCCTGCAGATGTCTCAAGATTTGCAGCCCTCATGAGCTGCCGCAGCCGCCAACCCATCATCTGCAATGATGTCAGCTACCTCTGACCCTGCCCTCCAGCCTGGGACAATAAAGGCCTTTCTCTGGTCTATCCTGATTCCATACCCCTGAGGCTCTAGGAGGTGGCCCCAGCCCTTTGAGATGCAGCCCAGGCAGGCGAAGCTAAAGAGCCTTTTCCTTCCCTTCAGGGGTCCCCATCATGCCCGCATCACCCACCCTATGCATTACCACCCCATGTTTTGCCATCCATCCTCTCCACTTATGCCCTCCTTCAACAAGTGTTTATTGAGTGCCTACTGTGGGCTCAGGATACAGGGCTCGATAGAACCAGGTGATAGGGCTGCTGCCTTGTCACAGCTCATAGTGCAGGGGTGGGAAGGTAGTGTCCTCCTCCTCCCCCTCACAGATGAGCTCCAGCACCAGCACCTGCTGCCCAGGCTCAAGCATCCGGCTTGTCATCTGCTGCACCAGTTTGGTCACCCTGGTAGTGTGGGGTGGAGGGGTAAGAGGATGGGGGAGATTGGGTAGGTAAGCAGTGGTAGGCAGAGTGACCTGACATGGACCAGATGGTGCTGATGGGCCAGAAGGAGCCCAAGCCAGGGGCAGGAGCAGCTTAAGACAGGAAACATCTGAAACTATTTTAGGAGCAGCAGGCAGGGCGGGCAGGAGGCAGGAAGCTGTGAGTCCCCTGGGAGTGGGCTGTGAAAGGGGGGCTTAACAGAGTGTGGAGGAACTGATGGGGCTGGCCAAGCAGGCAGCTTGGAGGCCACTCCTCAGGCTTTCAGCCCTCACCCCACCCCCAGCCCATTTGCTGGCTCCATTTGGCAAAAGAAAGCTTCAGGAGGGTGTGAGAGGCCCAAATGGGGTTGGGAATAGGAAAGACTTCAGCATGTCTCCCACCTCCAACCTCCAAGGACAGAACAAGTCCTGGCTAAAGGCAGGTGTGGGCTCACCTAAGGGCCAGGTGCTGGGCCTGCTTTTCAGGTGACCACCCTGCTGAGTAGAGTAGGGCCTTGCCGTGCAGCAGCATCTTCACCCTCAGCTCATATCGTTCCTAGAGAGAGTCAGATCAGGTGCCAGCTAGGCCAGGCTGGGCCAAGCCTGAAGGCGAGGAGTAGGAATGGGGCTCACCTGGAGATGGGCCAGCAGCGACTTCAGGGTCCTTTCTGGCTGCCCAGCAGGCACCTTCAGGCGGTCCCAACAGGTCCAGGTCCATGTCAGGTGATGGCACTGGGGGTCGGGGTGGGGGGGGAGGAATGAGAAGCTTCTCACACACCCCCTCCCCCTCTCCATTACCAGCAGCTAATGGCCCCTTTCCTAGGGAAGGAGCTGGACTAGAGGCAGGAAGCAGAAGCCAGGGGGGTGGGGTTGAAAGGTGGGATCTGGGCCCAGAGTCTCAATACCCTCCCCGCCTATGCTGGGGCCAGCACAGGAAATGGGGCTATGGGGCCCCCGCACAGGGAAACAAGCAATCCATCACACAGGCTGGTTTTGTGTGTGTGTGTGTGTGTGTGTGTGTGTGTGTGTGTGAGGGGGGGCGTTGCTTCCTGAGGAAACAGGAGTAGGGCCGCTGCAGTCTCTGATAAAGCAGCTTGATCCTCAAATGCAAGGCTGGAAGCTGGGGGGTACATCCTGCCCCTTCATTCTGTATTGCCAGGGCCTTGGACTGCATGAGCACAGAGGTTCAAGGGGCACAACGACCACTAGGGCCCCAATGGCTGAGACCCCAGCAGGAACACAGTCGGCAGGGGTCTCCTCTTCCTGTCCCCTTTCCTTCCCCATTTCAAGAGTCTTGGGATTCTGGTGACTAGAGCTGAGGGTGGCAGGCAGCCAGGGGCAGACCCCCACCTCCAGAAAGCACAGTGGGGTCAAGCTGAGATGAGGCCAGAGGTGAGCTGGGGGGGATCCTCCCTTGATCCCTCCCCCTCTACCACAGACAAAGGCAGCTTATGTGCTAGAGGAGAGGCCCTTCACAAAGGAGCTCTGTGCACTGTGCCCTGAGGGTCCCCAGTAATAGCCCAGTGCTGGCCCATGACCTCTCCCCTCTCCCCTGGTGAGGGTATTCTCTCCATCCCCTCTCCTGTGCCCCAATAAAATGCCAACTAACTACTTTCTAGCCTGGGCACACAGCCAGGGGCATTCTCAGCCCTGCACTGGAAGGAACACACATGCACACAAGCCTGGGAACGCCCGCATGTGTACTCACATGCACACCCACACAAGCCCACATTGAAGAAGAGTCCTGTACTCCCATCTGGCACACAGATGTACAAGCATCCTCCCTCCATGGCCACACACCTCAGAGCCAGGGATGCCCAGACCCCTGTGCACTCACACCTATGACATAAGTACTCACAACCCCACCTTCGGTAGTGAGCCTTTATTTAACTTAGCTTGGAGAGGATGGGCCAGGATCCCCATGCCATGCAGGCTGAAGTTAGGCTCTGTTTGGGGCCAGGGCTCTAGTCCCCCCTCCCTACCACCTCCCCCTTAGGGCTCTGCTGGGAGGAGGCTGTGAGGGATGTCTGGCTCCACTAATGAGTTAAAGCTGCAGCTCCCCCAGACTCGAGGCAGTGGAGGGGTGGGGGTGGCTGACGGCTGCTTCCTGTGTCTGACAGGTCCCAGTCTGGCTTCACAGCAGGCAGGGGGCTGGAGGCAGTCTTAAGGACTCCCCCAGAGGCTGGATTCTGATACAAACCCGAAGCCAGAGTAGACCCTGTTTTGGTAAGTGCAAGGAGAACCCAGGCCTGGTGTGAGGGGGTGTCAAGGGCTCACCTTCTGGATGGCTGGGGCACAAGGCACCCAGCGCTCAAAGCGATTTTCGGCTAGATGCAGGTGGCTGTGACGAAAGGCACTGAGGGGCCGTGGCCTGCCCACCACCTTATACAGCTCCAGGCCCACCAGGCCAGCCACAGCTGCTGTAGTGGTGGCAATGGCTGGAATAATCTGGCCCACAATTCGCTTGCTCTGCCAAGGACAAGAGATTTGGGGTCTGGGCCCAAGGTGTAGGGTTAAGGTTTGACCTCCACCTCTCGGCCTGAGCCCTAAGGGGCAGAGTTACCTGGGCACGGTTGGCAGGGGGGATCCCATAGTTCTGAGCTCGCAGGCTTGCCGCCGCTGCCACAAAGTCCACATGGAAGTTGCTATCATTGTCCTGTGAGGCCCAAGTCACAGTTGTGTTAACACTGCCCTAGAGTCCCTCACCATGGCGAACCATGTGTCACTGTACAGGTCTTCCCACAATTCTGTGGGGTGGATGCTTACATCTCCCCGCTTATCAGATAAGGAAGCTGAGGCTCAGGGAAGGTGACCTGCTTTTGGGGTCCTGCTGGGAGGAGAATTCAGGCCAAGGGACTTCAAAGCTACTTTCTTAGCTCTTGACCTTCCCCAACAACCTCCCCAACTTGGCCCTTCACCCCTACTTGGACTCCCACCTTCTCAAACTTCAGGGGCTTGAGGGGAGGGCTCCCACTCCAGACTTCCAGAACTTTGTGCAGTTTCTTCAATTGCTCGGGGCCTGTCAGAGGAAGGGGGTGGAAGTTCTTAGCCCCTACCTTCTATGTTCTCCCTGGAGCCTGGTGCCTATTCTTGATCTCTCCTAAGCCTAAACTTACCACTTTCAGGGAGACCCCGATTGATGCTGCAGTCTCCTCTCCAGCAGCCCCAACCCTATTCGTCTGTGTGTGTGTGTGTGTGCGCGCGCGTGCACATGTGTGCATGCATGCACCAATTATCTCTGTCCTCACTTGGGGAACATAACTAGGTGCTCTCCAGCATCCAGTGGTTTGTAGGGATCTTTTTTTTGCTGAGAATCTGCCATGGGAACAGGGGTGCAGGGATATGGGTAGCAGGGAGAGGGCCTACTGAGGGGCTAGAGGATGAGCCCAAGCCTTGAGAGAAGCAAAATCAGAGAGCCTGAGAGATAGTATTTGACTTCAGGGTCCTCAGGCCCCATCTTGCTTCTGCAGCATAGGCTGAGGGCTATGACTTTGGGTGGCAGCATAGAGAGCCAGAGTCGGGAGCCTCACCAAACTCAGCAGAAGCGCGAGCTAGCTCCAGGTCATAAGGAAAGATGGGGGCCAGGTGCTGGGTGACAGGCAGGCGCAGCGACTTTAGTAATTCCCTGAGTGCAGTCTGGTCCCGTGAGCCAGGCAGTCCATGCATCTGGGCGTACAAGTTAGCAGCCGCCAGCACATAGAGGAGGTGTGTGTCCTGCAGTCAGAGCAAAAGCATGGGAAGATGCATGGGTAGACTGAGCAGTACAGGTACATGGGGTAGGGGTCACCACCCATTTGTGGAAATGTTGGAGTGTCTCCTCTGTCTCACAGGTGGACACCCACATGTACACAAACACAGCAATCTCCATCAGCATCTGCTCATCTCTGAAGAATGCAGAACAGGGGCCCACCTCTGCTCTGAGGGGACACACCCCCATCTTGGGGTTCCTAAGGGACCCCACTTACTTGACTGGCATCAAACTCCAAGGGCTGGGGACACTGTTTGGAACCTGACCAGAAAAGAGTTCCATCCTCGAGCACCTAGGGAAATCGAGGCTGCTGGGCTCAGTCTGGTCCCCCTGAGCCCCCAGCCCCCCAGTACCTAGCTACCCACTTTATTGGGTGGGAAACGATTCAGCAGCTGCATGATGCCATTATGGAAGCAGAGTTGCCAGTGGCCAAGAGCCCACACCACACAGTCCTTCCAGGTCTGTGGACGCTCTCTCAGGACACCCAGCACCTCCTGCAGCACGGTCAGCACCTTTAGCCCATCTGGTTCTGCCAGAGAAGTGGGTGCCCTGTGGAGAAAGGAGGGGCCTCGAGGCTAAACCCTAAAGACTCTTGCTAGGGGCTCTGGACTCCCATCTGCTCCTCCTTTTTTAAAAGTTTTTTTTTTTAAGTTATTTATTTATTTTGAGAAAGAAAGAGTGCATGGGAGGGGCAGAGAGAGGGAGAGAGTGGATCCCAAGTAGGCACAGAGCCTGTCAGCACAGAGCCCGATGTGGGGCCCCAACTCAAGAACTGTGAGATCATGACCTGAGCAAAACCAAGAGTCAAATACTTAACTGACTGAGC